CCCCTGAGCGGTGGACGCCGCCCCCGAGATCGGGGGACAGCGTACGGATAGAAAACGAACAACAACATGCAAAGCAACGTTGTAACTGGCGAAGCGGCATGGCCCTTCCAACCAGGCTAATTCGGGGCCTACTTCAGCCTGCGGCCCCAGTATGCACTAGACTTGCGTGGGACTCCTGTGCGCACGCCGTCTCTGGCCCTGCCCAGAGCGTCTGGTCTTCGCACGCGCGAGGTGCTCCGACGAGCATTCGGTGGCTTGCCACTCTCATTTGGCGTCGTTCCTTCTTCTCCTCCTTCTCCCCCGTCCCGCGCTTAGTGCGACACGCCGGCGTCCACCCAGCAATGGTGCTGTCAGGTGATGATTGCTTCGGCTGGTTGCCCATTCGCTTTCTTCCTTTCTCTTCTGTCCCCTTCGCTACCTCGCCTGCCTCCTAGCTGCGGCCCGATGTTGGCCCTTTCTTCATCTACGTCTCGGTTTGACCCTGTAGGGTAATCAATCCACTGGTGTCGCCGCAGCACTTCTTGAATATGATAGGGTCCGCCTCGCGCCTTCTCGTGGCCTCCTCCGCCGCTCGGCTTCTGGCATGGGCCAGCTGCCGCGGGAAGCGTGTAGATCGCTCACCGTCCGTGGTCCAGGGAACCCGCGAGCCACCAGAGAACTCTCAAGGGGCAAAAAAAGGAGCAGGAGGAGGAGCAGGAGGAGGAGGAGGAGGAGGAGGAGGAGGAGGAGGAGGAGGAGGAGCAGGTCCTCCTTCCTTGTGGTCCTGCTCCTTTTCCTCCCGCCTGCCAGGCTTCAACGAGGCCACTTTCTCGCGGCTGGTCGACACCGACAGCGACACTGGGGTTTACTGCACCGAGGAGGAGCTCCAGGCCGCACGGCGGAACCCTCCTCGGTCCATTTTGTCCGTGAAGCCCGCATTTCTCGCTCTCCAGCGGGCGTCGGCTTGACTCGGGGGCAACGTGAGGATGGGATGGGCTCCGGGGGGGAACGCATCGACCCCCCGATCACCCCCTCGTCGCCGATAGGGGCCTGATAGCCCACTCCGCCCAGGAGCTTGCGGTTCCGCTATCGGTTGCCTACCGCCGATCTATCGGCACTGCATCGCCGATTCCAGGTCGATATTCCCCCGGCTGATCCCCCCCAGATCCTTCCCCCTCATTGGCCCACCCTGCTCAAGAGGAAAAAAAAAAACAGACACAATTAATCGTCGAGTCCCAGGAAAATATGGGAAAATATGGGAAGTGGCGGGGAAGACAGAAACCCAGAAAATATGGGAAAATATGGGGAGTATTTTTATTTGTATGTATCTATTTGTGTGTCCTGGGGCCCCTTCACCTGCGTCGTCGTGGCCCTCCTCTGGGGCCCGGGCGCAACGGGCTCCCGTGCCCAGAGGCTCCAGTCTGTCGCATTGTCAGGGCCCTCACAAGAAGAACTAGGGCACTGCAGACCAGGGCTACGGTAGGTTTGCGTCGTGTCGACCAGCGGCGACCCCAGCGCGGGCGTTCAAGGTTGAACGCCGCCGGCGACCCAGAATCGATCGATGTTGAACGATCGGACGTTGCGGCAGCGGCCGATCGTTCAAGGTTGAACGATCCCTGCGGTGTCAAAATCCAACGCTGGGGTCGGCACGACACGAACCTGCCGTATTCGGATCCAGCGGGGAGGAAGCGAAGGGTGGAAGAAGTCTCGGCCCATGGCTGCAGCTTTCTTGAGCGCACCAGTGTCCCGGTCTGTTGGCGAAGCCGCCATTCATGGGGCCCTGGTCACAGTCGCCATCACTGTCGAACCATGGCCTCCAGAAACCCGCCCAGAGCCTCGGCGTGGCGTTCGTCGTCGCCGTCCTGCTCCTCCTCGTCGTCAGCTACGTCGCAGGGTACTGTTCTCGTGCTCGAGCTTTCGCGGCTCCTGGCCGGCGGTCGAGAAATTTGAAGAGAAGGCGGGTGCGGACGCGCACTGCACCCGGTCGCTGGTACATGTCCGCGCGCGACACACTTGCTGTCAGACCTCCTGCCGCGCGACGCAGGCCGGTGGGCCTTCCGGGAGGGTCTGTCGTCGAATTGCTGCTCGGCATGCATCCCGAAGTGCAGCCTTCGGAGGTCGGGCGAGGTGCGCGAAGGGATCGGGCGGCGGGGGGGCGGCGACACCCCCAGGCCGCTCCCAGGCATCGGGCGTCGTGACTTGTTCATCGCCCCTGCTTCGCTCCTCCACTTGGGGGGTCTGGGGGGGGGGTTCGGGGCCCCGGGGCCGCACTAGGGCAAGACGTCCGATGTCCTGATCCTATCCTGTTCCAGGCGAGGTCCCCTGAAGGTCCGCATTCTCCCTCGGGACAGCTGTCCATCCCGAGTCATGTTTGTCAGGAGGGAAAGAAACACACAGACACAATTTATCGTCGACTCCCAGGAAAATATGCAAAAATATGGGAAGTGTGGGGGGGGAAGACAAAAACCCAAGAAATATATAGGAAAATAGGGGGAATCTTTTGATGTGTGTGTGTATTTCTTTGTGTGTCCCGGGGCCCTTCAGTTTGGCACAGGCGACACGCCAGAGGCCTGGACCGCTTCCCGAGGGAGTCGTCATTCACGTCCCGGGCCGTGGCGCTGGCGCCCATCTGTGGCCCGCCGGGGGCCCCCCCGGAGGCCGAGCGCTGCGCCGGCAACAGCCTTCCCGAGGTTTGTCTGGACTTCGGCCGGCCATGTCCCTCTACAGGAGGGACAGTCAAAAATAGCCCAACAAAAAATAGTGGGTGACGATTTTTGTTCCACTCTTTCTGGCTGTTTGTTTGAATGCTTTTGAATCGGCTTCTTTTTCGTCCACAATCCGCCTGTGGGGGGTCATGCCCGACCTAAGTCTAGACTGCGGGGCCCGGCAGAGAGCTGGAGCGGAGGGTGGCATTGCAACTCTTGGCAGGCTACGTTGAGCACCAGTGCTTGTATTTCCGTGGTCGAGAACCGGACGCCTGCTTGATCGTGCTGAGGCCCATTTGGTTCCGCGCAACCCCGCTTGCTCTGGCCGACTCGGGCATAGCATTTGGGCTAAATCGGCTCAATGGCCCCGCAACCTGCCTTCGTAGTATTGAATCGCAGACATCCTCCGATATTGCGTGTTCAATCCGTGGCCCCAAAGTTCCTGACACGTGGCCCAGGGATGGTTGTCCGTGCCGGGCTTATTCTCGATAGTCCCGGGGTCGGATGCCGAGCTCCAGGGGCCGAGACTGCGGAAAGACGCCAGGGCACAAGACGAAATCCGATCGTGGGAAGTCTGGGGAAGGCTGTTCCTGCAGAGGCCTCCGAGGTGGTGCCCCCCCGAGCCTGGGCGGGGCCTGCGTCCACGTCCGGTGCGTCGCTGGGCTCCTCGGGGGGATGGGGCGCCGAGAGGCCGAGGCGCGCGGCGGCAGGACGCCTCCTCTTGGCTTCTGGGGGGAGGGGAGGGCCCGAAAACTCCAAGGCGCAGCGGCTGTGCAGCAGCCGCGCGCAAGGGGGCGGAGGGGGGGAAGGGGGGAAGGGGCGAGCCCAGACCCCCTCGGGGGCCACGTTTCAAGAAACTCATGGCGGGAGGTCTTTCCCCTCCTCCTCCTCCTCCTCCCCCCTTCTCCTCCTCCTCCTCCTCCTCCTCCTCCTCCTCCTCCTCCTCCTCCTCCTCCTCCTCCTCCTCCTCCTGCTAATCCGCAGCCCCGGCACCAGACCCATTTTAGGTCTGATGCCCACCGGGGCAGGCGTGCCAGCAGTCCCAAACCCACCACGGAAGGGGGCGTGCCCATTACATTGATTTTTCTCAGTGCCCGGGTGGAGGGCGCTATTCCACCCAGGTGCCGGCGACAGGGCGCGCCACCCCCGCTAAAAGAAAGGGAGGGGGGAAGGAAGGAGGGAGGAGAGGGCAGGAGAGAACCGGAAGGAAAGGGAGACGGGCGCGCACGGCCGGGGGACCTGCGCCACCGACCCCCCCCGTCAGGCGCGCATGCGCGCCCATCGGAGGCAAGGAGCGGGGGAGGAAGAGAGGGAGAGAGGAGAGAGGAAAGAGGCGGGCTGCAGCAGCATGCGCGCGGACCAGCAGAGAGAAACAGAGCGACGGTGGAGGCAGCCAAAACGACTACAGAGGAGGGAAGAGGAGGAGAAGAAGGAGAAGACAGTGGACAGCAGGATGCTTGCACGGGGCCCAGCCCCTCGCAACCGCATCGGGCCTGCCGTGCGCCAGCGGGATGCTCGCCCCTGATGACGTCCTCGGCGAACGCATCGGGCCCGCCAGCCCGAGGTGGGATGCTCGCCACTATGCTCAGCGTCCGCCCCCGACGGCAGGGGGCTTGTGGGCGTTGAGCAACTGCTCAGCAACCGCCGTTTGCAGAACAGCACTGAGCTCTTGCCAGGAAGCGACAGCATCGGCAGACGCTCCTGCCTCTCCGTCAGAGCGATCCAGGTGATCCAGAATCAGCTGTCTCGCAACAGAACCCACTCGTCCACCAGTCTCGATCGCAAAAGGAATGAGCAAAGGCGTCGTAGGCCCCGGCGGGTACCGGCGCCGCTTCTCGCGGGCCACGTCCTCCGCTGCAAGTCCAGGCTTCTCCGCCCGAGCGCGCTCCTCCCTCGCGTCAGTACTGTCCGGGCTAACCACGACCACGTCCACCGCCATCGCGGCGCCCTGGCGGGCCCAGACGACGTCAAGGACCGCCGTCTCGACGCGCGCCGTCTCGACGCCATCCACGACGGATCGGCGGCCACTGGGGCACAGTCTGCTCCTTCTGGGTCCATGCTGGGACGCGCCGGGCAAGCCAGCGGGCCAGCAGGTCGCGAATGCGATCGTGTCGCGCCACGCGGCGCCCTCTCGTCTCGCACGCCAAGGCGTGGTGCTGGTCGGGTTCCAGAACCGCTCCGCAAAGCACCCCCTCTCGGGATGTGTTTCGACAGTGCGTCTGCGGTTCCAGTCCGTGCAGCAGCCTTGCGCCCGTCATCAGAAGGCGCCGCCGCAACGCGATGCGGCACAGCTCAGGATGCACCCCGTGTTCAGGCTTAGTCGGCAACGTGGTGAAAGCGCCAGCCCCCGGGCCCCCCGCGCTCGCGGTGGTCCAGGCCAGCTTTGGCGACGCCCGCAATCACTTCCATCCGCGGGCCCACCAGGTCCTTCTGTCGGTTGCGCTCTCCCTGGGCCAGCGACGTCTGCAGGCAGTGGGCTGCGCCAACTGAAGCGTTGTACGTCACCACAGCGGCTTCAAATCCCTGCGTGCCCGCAGCGCGCGCGGCGAGGAGAGCCTCTGCGCCGGTGGCCCCAAGCGCCGCCGCAACCCGCGGAGCAGCGTCGAGCCACGCGGCGATGTGCGCCGCCTCCCGCCGAGGCTCGGCCGCGCCTGCCGCGAGGCCGCCATCCTGGAGGATTGCACCCACTCGAGCCCGATCGGTCATGTCGACGCCCAGGAGGTCATTCCAGAGGCCGCGAAGCACCGTGTCGTGGGCCCGGACGGCCACCAGGTCCTGCAGGTGCGAGCGCAAGAGGTGGTTCGGCAAGCCCTGGGCTGTCCACCTGAGCATCGCCGTTGCCTCTTGTGGCCCAAGTCCTGCCGCCATTGCCTCCCAGACCGCTTGCCCGAAAGCCTGGAGCGTCTCGGTGGCGGCGCCCAAGGCGCGCACCCCGCCTCCGGCTCCCGCGGCCAGGGCGTCCCAGTTGTCGTCTTGTCGACGCGTCAGGCTGCAGCCCACCACCTGGAGCTCGTCCTTCACGTGCGACTGGAGGGAGGGAGGACAGTGCGCAGTGCCAGGGGGGAGCCACACCTTCGGCTTGCTGGGGTCCAGCACAAGACCGCCTGGGCCCAGCAGTCCGGACAACTGTCGCAGGTACTCTTCTGCCTCCGCGCTCGGCACCACAGCAACGACGTCGTCCAGGTAGGCGGTGACGAGCCACTGCGGTTTGGCAGAGAAGTGATGTAGCGCCAGCTGGTGCAAAGTGGCCGCAAACGCTGCCGGGCTCAGCGGGCACCCCTGTGGCACCCCTGTGGCACCCCGGCGCCGGTACGCAGCTCATGCGTGTCACCGGTGCCATCGCGCCACAGCCCCACAGCAGGCCTGGCGTAGAGTCTCGCAAGCAGGCTCCCGTACTCAGGAAGTGCTCCTCGCAAAGATGCGATAACTTCCCGGCGCGCAGGCGTGCCGAACGCGTTGGATACGCCCACCGCCACCAGCACGCTGCTCGGCCTGTCGCGCATAACTGCTTGCAACGCCTTGAACTGAACATCAGCGCCGCCATGCACCCCAAGGCCGTACTGGTAGGAGCCTGCCGCGGCCTGCGTGACAGCCTTGGTGTGGGCCACAAACCCGGTCAGGACGATCCGGCGGAACGGCGCGAGGACCGTGAGCGGGCGGACGCCGCCGCTGGCTTTGTGGAGCGCCGTGATGGCCCCTGTGCGCAACCACTCATCCACAACCGGCGGCACGGAGCCCCCCACCCAAGCCAGGGCGGCCTCCGCCAACGCGTCGCCCGCCTCGGCGTCCTCCGTTATTTCCGCTATTTGCCGCGGCATGAGGGTGATCCCTGCGCCGCATCGGGGGCGCCGTTGCGCCCATGCCTGGCCGCGCGCGCGGCCGACACGCTGGCGCCCTCGGCGCTGGGGGGGGGCCCGCCCAGGGAGAGAGGAAGGAGGCCTCCCAGATGACGGGGTGGAGGAGGAGCGGGGGGGGCGAGGCCTAGGCAAGCCTGCGAGCCAGGTGGCAGTCCGAGGCCTCCGAGAGAAGGGGGGAAAGGGCAACAAAGGGATACGCAGGGGAGGAAAAGGGAGGAGCCTCGGACTGCCTCGAGATGCCGAATTGGGATGTGGCCCGTCGCGCTGCCGCCCAGGGATCCGCCCCTGTCCAGCGGCTTGTCCTTGCCTGGGCGGCAGCGCACAGGCGCTGGGACCAGGTGGGCAGAAGGCCCACCTGGTGTGCCTCCCCCTAACCCCTCCAGAGCCAGGAGGCCAACGGTGAACGGTCCCTGGGACAGGCCTGGATGAGAGCGATATGGGGGTAAGGGGGAGGCACCAAATTACGGCCCCTAGGGGCCCCGTTGTCGCGGCCCCTTCAGGCGCCGTCGGCGGCTCGCCGAGCCCCGAGATCCGCGCCCTCTCAGAACTCGCCGTTCTGGTGGTCCTACCCTGGCCCTTGTCGAGGACGGCGTTGGCGGCCCACTCCCTCGCCTCGTCAGCGAGGTCGGGGAAGCCCTCCTCCTCGATGGACGCGTCGGTAGTCCACGCTCTTGAGGTTCCGCTTGATTATGTTGCCATCGATCTCGTGATACTCGACTCAGTCGTGCTGGTCGAGGTAGCTCTGGTTGACTCAGCAGTGACCACCCCCGACGACTCGGCCTCCTCTCGGGCCACTTCGGTGGTCGTTGGTCTTGTGGTAGAGCGTAGTACTGTCGCCCTCGAGCTCGTTGTACTCGACTCAGTCATGCTGGTCGCAGTTGTTGTCGACTCTGCTCTGCCCATTCATGTGGCCCTCGTACCAGTCATGTATTGGACCCAGGCTCCTGGTACTCGTCTCAGCCGATGAGGTACTTGTCGTGCTGGTTAGAGGTCGTTGGGGGCCGGCTTGTTGCTGGTAGGTGGAATAGATTGTGGGCGCACTCAGGCCTCCATGCACCGACTTCAAGTAGGGTTCATGGCGGCCCTACCTCGTCCCGCTATGGCTAGGGGTCACAGTGCCCTCGGTGGGGGCGAACCCCAGGCCCAGTGATTCTTCTGCTGTCGATGAGGAAGGTCAACGCTGCCCTATGCTTCGCCCTTGGGCGCTCGGGAGCTCCATCTCCGCCATGGGAACGGTGGGGGTGGCGAGCTAGGGCGGACCGCGGGGGCGCGGGCAGTACTCGTCCTGCCCCCCCCTGCCCCTCACCATCCCCCCTGGTAGGCGCGGGCAGTCCTCGTCCTGCCCCCCCGCCCTTCGAGCCCGTCTCGAAGTTTGATCCTTGCCTCACCAGGGCAGCGTTGACTCGTACTTGGTGCAGTTGGGGTAATCTGGCTGGTACCTCTGAGCCCTGGCTGAACGGCGGCCGTGTCCGTCACTGTGCAAAACGTGGCGACGTGTGCCTGGGGCGTTCCCTCGCATTCGGGGCTTCCCCAGGACTTGCGTCCTGGCGACTTGTGCAAAACTTGGCGACGTAGCCTGAGGTATTCCCACGCACTCGGGGCTTCCTCAGGACTTGCGTTCTGATCCTTTTGTACTTGTCGTCAGGGCACTTCGTCGCGATCCGCGTCGTCAGCCTGTGCCCGAACAGCTCCTGTCGAGATGGTGGTCCTGCCGATTGCCTTGTCGGGTCGGTCCTGCAGGGCCCACTCCCTTGCCTCTTCCAACCAGGTCGGTGGGCCACCTCGCCTCGCTGGGCCACGATGGTAGTCCTGACCCATCTCCCTGGTCTTGTAGCGGTCGAGCGGCTGGAAGAAGTGGGCCACGTCGTCGTCGATGCGCCACCCCTGGACGTCGCTAGGCGACTCGCCAAAGCGCCACCTTATCTGCTTCGCCAGTGCGGTCGCGATGGCCTGGCACATCCTGTTCGGGTACTCCTTGGCCGCCGCGGTGCGCCACTGGCCGTCGTCGTTGATGCCTGCCAGCTCCGCGTGGTAGGAGGCCGTGTGAAAGCACCTCCCGCCTCCAGGCAGTCTACTGATTTCTGCTCGGAGGGTTGGTAGGGATACCGCCATCAGGCTTGTGGACTTCCTCGAACGCGCTCCACAGGTGCACTGGTCGAATGTGATCAGCTCGACTCCCTGCTGGTTCAGGGGGTGGCGCGTCTCGGGGACCTTCCAGGAGCTGGCGAAGTGCTCCTCGGTGGGCTCGCACGGGTGCTCGAGCATGCCTGGGACTCCAAGGTTGAGGCACATGTACATGAGCTCCAGCTGTGTCCTGTATAGGCGGTTGCCTATCGCTAATTGCTCCATCTCTGGACGGGAAAGGTAGCGAAGGCCCCACAAGCTGTTGCTGCTCCTTAGGGGTCTTGGTGGGCGACCCCTGCAGTCATTGGGGGGCAAGTGGCGCGCTCGGCTCCAGGTCTCGCACGGCGGTCCGCCGATGACTCCTGCAATTCTCCTTGCTTGTGCCATGCCTCGCCACTTGCTGACTGCGACTTCTGATGTCAGGTCGCCGAAGGTCGGGTCGTTGGCGATATCCAGGCTGAGCATGTGTATGTCGCAAGAAGCCCGACTGCTGAGGCGGTCGAACCAATCCTGAACATCTCCCTCTCGGCGACGGCCGCTGAATAGATGCAGCACGTATAGCGTTCGAGCTGGCCTGGGCCTGGGTACAGCAGCTGGCGGCGGTGGTGGCTCCTCGATGAAGGGGAGCTCTAGGCTCTCGTAGTGGCCGCCGTTGTTGTCGTCGCTGTCCTCGTCCGTATGCATTTCTGGAGGACGAGCAGGGACTGCAGGCTTCTCTGCCCAGTCGATGGGCCTGCCCGCCCTTCTGTTCGCCTGCTGCTGTTCGCGCACAACTTGCTGGTTGTGCTGCAGCTCGGCTCTGCTAAGGATTGCTGGACGTGTCTTTCGCCAATGTCGAGCGCACCTGCGCACTCTCAGCAAGTGTTTGACCAGCCTGTTTGTAGTGTGGTAATCCATGCCGCATCCGTAGCAGACCGAACCAGTTGCCCACGAGATAGGATGACCCGACGAGGTGTGGTCCTTGGTGACGTGTGCTCGTAGCACTGCTGCGCTGGCTTCAGTACGTCCGCAGTGGTAGCATAAGTACTTGCGCTGCTGCTCGAAGTGCTGGTCTGGGAAGGGCGAGATGGCTTCCGTGTTGGTCCACCGTTGGAGTCGTAGCCGCCATCGAGCTTGGTGGTCGCGATCGTACTGGCGAGCTTTGCCGCGTTGGCAAGCTTTCTTTACTGCGCTGAGGTAGCTTTGGTAGCCGTTTCTGGCCCAGTCCTTCCAATCCTCGAGCGTGTATGCTCCACCACGCTCGTCAGGTCCTGTGTGGTCGCGGACCCAGTCTAGGTCGCGGCGGAGCAGTGCCACCCAGCCGTAACTACCATCCCATGCTTGGCTAAGTAGTCGGCGGAGGCGCAGGGGTCCCCAGTTGAGGCATCTACCAAATAGTCGTAGCCGCTCAAGTCGTAGGACTATCTCTGGGGGCAGCTTGTCGACCCCTTCGAGAATCTGGGTGTTCGTGACCTCCTTTTTCTGTCGTACTTTCCAAGTGATCCTTTGCGCGGCAGCGTAGTTCACGATATACTGGTTGTTGAAATTCCTGGCCTGGCCTGCTGTAAGTTCGGGCCAGGTAGACGCATTGTATAGTAGCTGGGATAGCACCACACTGTCGGCTAGGTAGGCCTTGTCTTTGATGGCCAGCTCTGAGCGTCGGTGGACTTCGCGATGGAGAGGCCTCGTGGATGTCGCTGCAGTGGCTACCTTCACTGCGACATCCACCCCAGGGGATGCATTGTCGGTCACTTAGGTCCCGAGGAGCTTGTGGTGACGAACAACCTCGACGTAACTCTCTGCGAGGGGGACCTCGATCCTCGGCACTCCATTGGAATAGAAACTGGCCCGAGCTTGCCGGCTCCCAGGCCCACTGAAGTCGATCATCACCTTGGTCTTGGTGAGCTGCAGCTGGAGGCCGAGGGTGCTGGCGGCGCAGTAGACTGCTTCGCAGAAACCCGTGGCCTCATGCTGAATGTGGTCGGGGCTGGTGAACACGTGCATGCCCGTTAGGTCGTCGACGAACGATAGGCCGTGAGGTTCATGCTCCTGGAGTGGCCCATCTGTGGGGTCGGTGTCGCATGCGAAGCTGCTGTCAAGAGGCTTGCCCTGGGGTCGTAGCCCTCGCTGCGCAAGGTAGCTGTCAATCATGCGGTGGACTCGCCCGAATAGCAGATTGAAGTCCGCGTCGGCCAGGGGCACGCCAGGCCTCGTGCCCTTGTGCGGCGCCATGAGGTTCTGGGAGAACCTGTGTGATGTCCACCTGTTGCGGTAACCTTCTGCAATGAGGGCAGCCAGGTGGGAGCCGTCCAACACTGTGTCGAGTATCCCTGGGTTGGCCACGAGGTGCTCCAGTTGTGGCTGGGCCCACAGGGGAACCTCGAGGTTCTCTAGCACCTCCTTGACTTCGTCCTCCTCGCCTGGGATGCCATGAACCAGCTGGACTACAACCGAGTAGAAGGCCTCCTTTAAGTCGTAGCAGCTAATCATGGAGCACTTCCCTTGGGCCTGACTTCTCTCTGTGAAGAGGCGCGCTGCTAGGGCCGCCATGTCCACCCCTCGCTTGGGCCGGCCGCCAACCTGGATGTCCTCCAGCGCTATGGCGAGGGTAGTGTTGAGCATGGTCCTTAGGTATTTATGGTGGTGCTTGCCCAGGACGTTGTTTAAGAGGATCTCGCGGTAGGCTTGGAGGTACCGTGGGTCGCCTTTTCCTTTGGGAATTGCGACCAGGTCTCCACCCTTGAAGCTCAGCGGCTCCCGTACAGTGGTCGCCACCTTGGTGAAGAGGGGGTGCAGTAGCCTCGCTGCCTCTGTGGGGGCCGCCCTGAGGACAGCGTTCGTGAGCCCGTCGGGGCCTCCTTGCGTCCCAGCCTTGGCCGCGGCGAACTGGGCCTGGCAAACGGCCAGGGGCATCACCATGGAGAGATCCAGCATGCCGTCGAAGGGCCTGGTCTTGCTGTCGTGATTGTACTTGTTGGCAAGATCATCCGCTGTCACGATCTTGCCCGCCTGTATCTTCGCGAAATGGTTGAGCTCCTGGTCCGCCATGTCCTGGGAGTTGTGGATCACCTCTCCATCCTTGTCGAGCCGCATAGGCTTTCCTGCTGGGAACTTCGCCTTCCTCCCGCCATACCTTAGTAGGTCGCGGTAAGCCTTCCACTGGGCCGCAGCGTCGTTCGCAGCGGAGGCGGAGGACGCAGTTGAGGCAAGCCGACTGAGGAATGCACTTCGGTCCTTCTCGACGGCCGAGGCAACGAGGGGCCCAGACTTGGTGAGGAAGGAAAGGATGGCCATGGCGTAGACCATGGGCGAGATCGTCCAGTTCATGAGGAGGTGCGCGTAGTCGTGGATGTCGTGGATGGTGCCATCGTCGTCGCCACGCTCTCTGCTCCACAGGGACAGTGAGTCCCCTACTTCGCCTCCAAGAAGAGAGTGGGCGTGGGCTACTAGTCGTCCAGGTCGGTCGTCATGGGCTTCTCCTCTGAGCACTGCGCGATGGACTCGGAGTGTGAGGCGCCTGGCTCGGATTAGGCCCATGGTAGTCTTGGTGACATAGGGCTTCCTCGCTGCCTTGACGGCCTTGCCGAAGGCCTGGATGGCCGCGTCGTTGACGACCCTGGTGACCTCCTCGCAGTGAGTGTTGACGTCCACCTCCCAGGGGATGATCGGGGCCTGCTTGAGAATCTCCTTGAAGCTGGCCTTGGCGACGTCGTTGTTCAAGTTGGTCAGGTCGGGCCTCGGTCCTGAGGCCTTGGTGGTCTTGCAGACGGCCCACTTGAGGGTGGCTAGTACTGGTATGTGGTCTTGTGCAGCTGTGCCTCGGTCCAGACCTGGCTCCGTGCTGCAGCTCGCAACGTACGGGGCGATCGAGGAGCTCAGCAGGATGTAGTCTATCCTGTGGTGCTGCCCCTTCGATCCGACATGCGTAAATGAGTTGTTGCCTGGATCCCTCGTGGTGTTGATGACCTCCATGTTGGTGTCGGCAGCGAAGCTGATGATGTGCTTGCCATTGCCGTTGGTCGCTTCTGGGTACCCACTGGTGCCAACTCCTGGGGACTCGTAGTCGCCAAGACGCCCGTTCAGGTCCCCCATGAAGATGTCCACTCGGTACTTGGCAGACAATCGCTGAGCAGACTCCCAGAATTCTCTCTTCTCCGCCGCGTGGGAGTCTTCGTGGGGTGCATATGCTGATGCGATGACCATGTCTGTGCCTGCAACGCGGGCCTTGATGATCAAGAGCCTGTCGTGCTGGTGGAGGACGAGGGTGTCTTTGGCACTTAGGTACTTCGCTGCCCCACTCGCGCTGATTGGCTGGGAGACGTTGAGCCAGATGTCGCATCCTCTGTTCTGCTGCGTGTGGCCTGAGGAGTAGCAAACATATTCTCCTACGTTGCGGACGTCTCCTTCGCTCTGCGTCTCCTGTAGGGCCACGACGTGCAGGCCCATGTCAGCAAACTGTGCTGCTAGGTGCGTGACCTTGGAGAGGCTCTGCTTGCTTTTGCCGGCCGCCTTGCCTTTGCCCGACTTGAAGCTGACGGCGGCCTTGAGTGATCTGCAGTTGTAGGTGCACAAATTCACGTTGAGGTCGGCCTTGATGGTGGTGGTGCTGATGGGCCTCTGGATCGCTCCTGGGGCTGCCTGCGGCTGGGTGGCCTCGATGATGAAGTCTTTGTTCCGCAAGGGAGGGTATGCGGCCTTGACCGCATCTGGCTCTGAGCGTAACCATTCCCAGGAAAGGAACTTGTTGTGAGCGATCGCCTGCACTGCTGCAATGTTCGGGTCCATCAGGTCGCTGGCCGAAGCTTGATCTGCTATCCCATCTGCGAGCTCGTTCCAAGGGTGCCCAATGTGCGAGTTAATGTGGTGCCACTGGGTAGGTCGGGCTTGTTGGAGGAGGCCAGCAAGCGTGCGAATGGCGGCCCCCAACCTCGGATGTACGTGGCATTGGGCTTCGCCTTTGGCCAGGTTGATAACGTTGAGGGCATCGGGCGTGACCTCGATGGGCGCGGCGGTGTCTTGACCAAGGGCCCACATTAGTGCCCAAAGTACTGCCGTGAGCTCAGCTGTGTATGCCGTCACCTTCTCGTTGTTTGCCATGTCGTCTAGGGACTCGGTGACCTTGCCAGCAATGAAACCCGAAAACCAAACGGGCCTCGTGAGTTGCGCCCGTCGTCGTACTCGTCGACAATAACTACTGCCCAGGCGGCTGTATGTGGGATGCCGTTGTAGCTGCCGTCCGTGTAGATGTGTGTCCGCCTGGTCGGCAGCTCGCGTGATGGGCACATCTCCAGCGCCATCCTTGCCATGTTGTGCAGGGTCGTAGTGTCGACGTCGGCGCAGACGTTGACGCGGCCTCGGCCGCGAAGGGTCTCGGCTACTGGGTCTTGGCTGAGAACTGGCAGCACTGCCGCTTGGCCTCTTTCTGGCGCTGCCGTGGTGGGGAGCTGCCGTCGCCTTCGGCCACGCCTGGCCCTCTCAGCATTGACGTACTCGGGGGAGTACTCGATGTCGTCGTCTGGCGCCAGTTCCATGCCCTGTAGAATGGGACCTTGTGTAGTGGTAATATGGGCTGGAGGTGGCTGTGATGTCGCGGAGCGTGTAGGCGGGGCTAGAGATATGGCCCCAGCCTGAGGCGCACTCCGCTTCGCGGGTGGTAGTGATGGCATTTGGCTCCCCTCATCGTAGTTCAAGTCGTCCGATCCAGCCCGCGCGGCCTGACTGAACAGAGCCCGCGTGATTGGGCGTGGAGCATGTTGTCACGTAGACGATAAGGTTCGCCATTCAGGGCGTCTGGGTGATTGGTAGCACCCGTGCCGCGGTGGGAGCGCGCTGATGCCGAGGGGAGCGTTGGCTTCCACCCGTTTGGCCGTGGTGAGCTGCTTGGGTCCGTCGGGACTGGGGCCACTGGTGATGCTGGTTGAGCTGCTGGGTCCGTCGGGTCTGGATCCACCACCAGGGCATGGTACTTGTTGTGGGTGCTGCTGTTGTCCCGACGACTGTGGCTCTCCGCAGCGCGCCGTGCACGGCGTGCACGCCGCTGGGCTGATCGGAAGGCTGCGACTGCGCGCGCTTGCTTCCACTCCTCGTAGCATTGCTCCATGCCATCCTCTGCCTCGCTGCCAGTCGAGTTTTGTCCGTCGAGAAAGGTCCCTTCCACGTTCTCGATCTCGTGGACTCGGATGGCGGAGGGGGACACGCTGAGTGCAAGGGCAGCCGGTAACGCATCCTTGCGGCCATCTTGGTGGCTTGTGTCCTGAAGTGCTGACAGATTGGCGGATGCATCACTCCTCCCTGGTAGTGTGCCTCCTTGGTTGCCGCCTAGCGCCCCTCGAGACGCGGCGGGCGGCCCTCGTGTCGGCCGTGGTGGTGTCACGTTGGCCCCTCGAGACCCAGGTGACTGATACCGCTGTTGATGCTGGCTGCTGCGATTGGGAGTGGCCCTCCCACTGCCAATGCCAGTTGCGATAGCACATCTGCTTGGAGTCGTGGCCCCTCGGGACCTTGGACTCCTGGAAGTACCTGATCTGGTGCGTGAGACTGTCGCAATCTCTGCTGGTCTTTTTGTTACTAGACGGCTGTCGCAATTAACCCCAGGGCCCGCCGTGCTTTCAGGCCTCTGGTGGTGGGTAGGTCGAGCATCGTAGTGGAGGACCCCACTGCCGTGCTGCGGGCTTTGGGCCCCAGCTGCTCTCCCCAATGCTGCCAAGGAGATCGATGCTGTCGAACTGATCGGAGAGCGTGAAGAAAGCCCACATCCGTCGTGCTCTGCCCTGTTGGACTCATCGGCCGCCTCCTGGCAGTGAATTCTGTCATGCATGACCTGAAGCCTGGCGGCGCTGCTAGGCCCCCTCCCCCCCTCGGGGGGATCCAGCGGGCGCTGCTGCTGCCTGCTCCTCGGCTCCAGGAGTTGCAGGAGGGGAGGGGGTTGCTGTGCCCCTTGTCTCGTCCCTCCTGCGGGCCACTCGGCCACGAAAACGTGCTATGCCTGACTCTCCAGAGTCTACCCGCTGACCCTTGTGGGCCTGGCTGATGTCTTCTCCTGGAAATGCGGGCGCGGGTCCAAACGCCTCTTCGAGGGCTGCAGCTGCGGCGGCGGCTGAGGTGTGCTGGCGCGTCAGGATGTCGATGCCCTCGTACTGCCTCTCGATGCTGGCCGCTGCCGCCTCCGCGTTCTGCCTCTGCTGGTACCGAGCTAGCCCTTGACGTGGATGCCAGGTCTGTGTCTGCCTCGTGCTGCGTGATTCCCCTCATCTCCTCACCCTCCTCGGGTGTGGGGTGATCCTGGCTCCAGGGCGGCCAGCTGGCGGGGTAGATCATCGGCGCATGGTCCGAGCCGTCGTCCTCCGCTTGGGAGTCCTGCGTGCCCACTGTGCCGAACTGGGTCAAGGGGGCCTCCTCGTAGTAGCGCCTTTGGATCTCCTCCGCCTCGTGGTCCCTCACTACGGACTCCAGCTCCTCCTCCATCTGTACGGCTTCCCATTGTGCTTTCTCCTCAGCATCTTGTCTGCGCAACTCATCTTGTTCGCGCTCGTATCTTTCTGCCTCCTCATGCGGGTCTGGCCTGTCGGGGCCCCTGGACCTGTCACGCTCTATGAGGGGTACATCGCCTTCGTCGGTCTGGCGGGCTGCTGACCTGGCTGACCTGGTTGATGCTGGCCTCCGAGGCGAGGAGCTGCTCTGCCTACGGCCCCTGTTGGCTGGGCGCTCCTCGGCTGCACCAGTTGGGAGATTGGTCGCAACGGGGGACTCCGCTGGGGCGGTCGCTGCCTCGGCTGCTCCTCTGGCTTCCTCGTACAGGTCAGCGGCCTCTTGGTAGTCGTTCATGGACTCTTGGGACGTTGGGGGGTGGCCCCCTTGGACGAGGTGATGAGCTGCCCTCTGGGTGAAGTCGTAGCCCTCCTGCCCGTATTGCCTCATCTCGGCGTACAGGCTGACCATGGCCTTGCGTTCACGTTCCCTGCTGGCTGCAATGGCTTCCAGGCTCTGCATTCTCAGCTTTAGCTCCTCTGTCTCCGACGCGCCCTGCTCCTCCTTCTTTGCGATGGCGTCGAGCTCGGTGTGTAGCGTGCTGGAGCGCCGGAGGCTTTCTTGCAGCGCGAGGTGAATGGCCTCCCCCCTGCCCGTCCTCTGCTGGCTGGCAAAGTCTTCCATGGCGGAGGCCTCCTCCATGCTGGCGATCCTGAAGGTGAGGGCTTGGGCGAGCTCCTCCTCCAGCGCCTGCTCCTGCACCTCTGCGTTGGACCTTTGCTCGCTCAGCTGCACCGCGTAGCTGCTCAGTTCCTGTCGCAGGCTCTCTGTGTGCAGCTGCAAGTCATGTGCGCTCGCTTCTTCTATCATGACTTGGCGGGTGAGACTCGACCTTATTCGCTCAGCACTGCCTTCGAGCTCTGCCCGCATTGCCTCCTTGTCCTTCAGGCTGGCCTTCGCAATCTCCTCCTCCTCTGCTCTAGTCCTTAGCAGGGCGAACTGCAATGCCTGCACCTCGTGCGGGATCTGCCGCTCCTCGTTGGTGCTTCTCAGCTCCGCTGCTTCGTGGTATGCAACCTGTACTGCACGCTGCGCAGCGCCCGCCTCAAGCTTGGAGTACTGCTGGAGCTCGTGTATGCGGGCTTCAGCTGCCTCGAGCTCGCTTTTGGTCTGCCTGAGCCGATCCTGCTGCCGTGCTGCTGTCTGGACGATCCCTTGCAGCCTGGCCGCTTCTGCCGGCGGGAGGGCCCCTTTTCCCTTGGCATTGGCAACCACTTGGGCCTGGGCGATTGCCTGGACCCTGGCTGATTCGGCGGCAGCTTCAAGCTCGAGGGCGTGGTTCTTTTTGGCCTCCTGGAGCTTCTCTTCCATGACCAGCTCCTGCCTGGTGAGCTGCTGCTTGAGAGTGCCCGCTGTAGCTGTCGCTTGGGCGCTCTCGTGCTGGGCCTGTCGCAATGCCTCTTGCGCCTCGGCTCTTGCCCGCAGCAGGTCTTGGTAGACCCTGTCCTGGGGCTGCGGCTGCGCTCGGTGCTCCGCTCGAGCATACTCAAGCTGCTCATGCAGGTGATTTGCCCGCTGGGTCGCCGCTTCGGCCTCTGCCTTGGCTTGACTGAAGGCTGCGTCATGGCTGATTATCCTGGTCTTTATCTGCGTCGCGAACTCGCGCCTGCTCTCGGGCGACCCCCCTGACTTCCGCCAGCTCGGCAGCAAACTCATGCTCGGCTTCGGCATGGCGCTGCTGCTGGCGGGCCCGCTCCGCATTCGCCTTGGCCACCTGATCGGCGAAGCCTCTGGTTGCGCTGCCTGCCGAGCTGGCTCTTGAGCGTGGCGATCGCCCCACCACTCCCGCTGGCCAAGCTGTAAATCCGCCACCAGGTGCTTCGCTGTTCAGGCGCCTGTCGATCACGGCCTTGTGGAAGGCATCCCAGCTCGGTGCCAAGCCAAACCCGTCCGCGCCCCAGTCGCCCTCGTCGTCCGCCGCGCCGCCGTCGGCGAGCACGGCCCGCACGTCGGCGATGTTGGACTCGAGCTGCCTCAACTCCTGCTGCTTGGCCTTGAGGTCGTCCCGCAGCTCGTTCGTCTTGGCCTCGAGGGCGATGACTTCGAGTTTGACGGCCTTGCGCCTCTTGCTGAGCACCTGCAGCTGGTCATTCGGCCTCCTCGTGACCAGCTTCTGGTATTTGATGACCGAGATTTCCATCAACTGCTCCTTCGTGCTGTCGCCCGCGGCCTGCTTGGCGACGACCAGGTCGCCGAGCTTCCTCAGCCTCTGGTCCGCGCTGCTCAGAAACTTCTGGATGCCTGCGCGGTCGGCTGGGGGCGCCTGCCACTTTGGGTGGGAGGTTGCCTCGTCCAGCGTGCAGGCTGCCACAGAGTCAATGACTTTTTGAGCCCTCTGGTCCGCTTTGCTGGAGCTGGCCTGGCCGCCTTTGCCCGCCCTGGGCTGCTGCTGCAGCTGCTGCTGCTGCTGCTGCTGCTGCCATGGGGGCTGGCTGGGCTGCTGCTGCAGCTGCTGCTGCTGCTGCTGCTGCTGCTGCCATGGGGGCTGGCTGGGCTGCTGCTGCTGCTGCTGCTGCTGCTGCTGCGGTTGCCATTGGCGAGGGCTGGCCTGGCCAGAGCGCCGCGGCCGTGATAGCGTTCTGCGCCAGGGCGGGTCCTCGCCTGCTGGCTCCGCATTCCACTGCT